TTTCTCAGAGGCATTATGCCTATTTGGAAGTATTATTCAAAGCATAATTCTTCACAAACGGATTCACAAAAGGCATGCTCCCATTCCCCTCTCCGCTCCCCATCATACATTTTAAGGAAGTGGCAAGCCCCTGATGCAAGTGGAGAAAATGAAATTAGTCCCTCAGAGAGGCTATGATCAATGCCGTGTTAATCTAACCCTCAGCTGTTAATGATTTGCACGAGGATTCCCCTCAATGCTGGGGCTTCAGTTGAATTACTGTTTTAAGAGTCTCAGCCACATTTCCCTGCTCTTGCTGAAAGGGGATTGAGTTGAGTGGATCCTACAGATCAGCTTTCTTTTTCTGCTTTGACCTGCTTTGGTTTTCAAATGGCAACAAAATACGCAAGAATCTTCCAAATTTTATTTTCTGAAATGTTCTTAGCTGAGATCTTCCAGGTAAACGGCTATGAAGTAAACCCCTTTGCAATATTGATAGATTTTTAATTTGAACCGCGGCTTATGGCCTACAAAGTGGGGTGGGGGGAGGGAAGAGCAATTTGCTTTTTGGCCAAACTATAACTTTAGAAAAATAGCCTCCAAATTCAAGTTCATAACCTTTTACCTTTTTCTCACAGGGCACCAGAGTTTGCAGTTTGTGTTAGTTTAGGGAGTGTTATGAGTAGTAGCATGTGAAGGAAAAGAGCTTCATGTACTGTCCCTGAAGGCATGGTTTGTTTTGGTTTCTTTCTCCTCATTTTCTCTTTCATTCTCTCTCTCTCATTTTTTGCAATTATATATATATATACGGTTATTGTTAGTCAAGGTAAAAAATTTTGTACCTTTTCCATTGCACAGTTTAGCAGAAATATTGTACTAAGGGCACAGTTTGAATTTCCAATAGTTACAACACTGTGATAGGCGGAAACAAAAAATTACTTGTAACCAAAGTCAAATTTGAAACAGTAAAAGAATTGCTAAAGCAACCACTCACCTCAATTCTGAGCTGTAATACATTAATATCAATGCAGCAAAATATGAGACTCATAATTGTACCTAAGTGGCACCTTGGTTATCAACTCATTTACACAGCTCATCAATTGATGCAATTTCTATAAATGTATACAGGAAACTTCCTCAGAATGAAGGATAGTAACTAAATATTTGTCAAAAGGTGAATTTGCATACTCCCTTGAGCATGTTGAATGCATGTTATTCTATTCAATGGAGACACAGAATTTAGAAAATTGTATATTATTGTAAATTCTTTTTTAGAGTGATCAGGGAATTATCTATAAACAACATAAATATCATCCTCTAATGGAGTCCCTGAGAGATGCAAAGATTGAAATACTTGACTGTAAAGGTTGATGTTTTCAATCCACCCAGAGAAGGCTCAGAAGACAAAACTGGAGATCTGCCTCTGAATGGTCACAGTCCTGAAAACTCTATGGAGAAAAGATCTGCTTTGCATACCTGTGTTCTTGTCTCAGAAGTTACCTGTTGGAGAGGAATTCTGCTGGAATAGTCTGTACCAGTTATACTACTAACCCAAAGACTGCGTGACTCAGGGGGTTCAAATCCACCTGTGGGCTCACAGGAAGATGACAGGCAGTCAGTTTCCATTATCTTTAGACTCTCAGAAACTTGATAGAAGGTCACCATGAGTCTGAACCAACTCCAAGGTAGTACACAAGTGAACAATTGACTATGATTACAATACGCAAGTAATATATGCTCTAAGTTACCTTTATTATAGTAACATTTATGAGAGAGACTTTACCTAAAGGTTTATTTATTGTGTATTTTATGAGAGTGGAGGCAATTATTTTCCCTTTTCTCAAAGGTCTTCGTTTTGATTTCATGCTTTAAAAAATCCACTGTGGTTCCCATTGGGTGTTTTGTAGACACATTCCAAAGCACTGAACATTCCTTAGAAGGAAAGGTCTTCAAAGAGCAAACGAAGGATGGGTGGGAACCAGGAAAGTGAGCAGAAAACTATACACGGCACAGATATCTTCTGACAAATCTTCCCTCACCTTCCACTTCTTCGCTAAATCCTCATCTATTGAAGATGCTTTCCATTCATTTATTGTCACCTACACATAGTTAAATTTATTCTTACAAGAAAGAAATAGATCATTTGCTGTTTGCTACACATGATGGGGTAAGGAGCCCTGTCCCACTGTGATTAAAGGCTTGGCTGTTACACAAAAGGTAGGTAATTTGAAGTTGTCAGCTGTCCTGAGAGAGAAAGACGTACAGATCTTCTAAAAGAATTACTGCCTTGGAAACCCTATGGAGCAGACCTGCTTTGTCCTACAGGATCAGTGTGAGTCAAAATCTACTCAATAACCACATATTTTTCTCAGTCACCCACTTTTATCACCAATTAAATATTCCTAAACTATTAAATATTTTGTTGCTGTTTATCCATTGAGCACTTAAACTTCACACGTCAGAGAGAAAGCAAAGCATACAGAAAACTTCTTACTCTCAAGTTGCATACAAGCTACAGAAAGATGAGTATAACATCTGTGACAATTATTGTGTTTAAGTATCAGATTCTGCAAAAGCAGAGAGAAGTGGTGCCTACCAATGGTGCAGAGAATAGGCAAGATGTGCTGCAGAGCAGATGCCTGTTCTGGAGCCCAAAAAATCAGAGCTGACTGCATGGATGACTTTCAAGACAAAAAGAAGCCATGTAGCATCTGGATAATGATGACATGCAATAGAGTACAGATGGGACAAAATTAGAAAAGAGGAAAAAGAGTAAGGGTAGAAAGGTCTGTAGGTCTGGGCACTACATATTATCTTAATAGCAATATTTTGTTGTTCTTACTTACATCAAGTCCCATGCATCTCATAGCAATCCTACACAGAACAGCTCTGAACACTGCTCTATCCTGAGTCAACCTTATTGTCTCTGATACATTCATCCGCATTATCCCAGTTACTGAATCAATCCATCCATCAAGGGTCTTCCTCTCTTGTGCTGTCCCTCTACCTCCCAAACATGATGACCCTCTCCAAGGACAGGTCCCTCCTTGCAAGATGCCCAAAGTATGTCAAATGGAGTTTCAGAATCCTTGCCTCCAAGGAGCAGCCTGGTTTCACCCTCTTCAGACTGAACCTGTTCATTCTCCTAGCAGTTGGTGGTATATATTCATTACTTTTCTCCAGCACCACAGATCAAAGGCATCAATTCTCTTTCTACCACCCCTAGTCATTGTCCAGCTTGCTGATGTATAGCATGTCATTGTGAAGACCATGGCCTGGATCAGGTGTATCTTAGTCTCCAGACTGACATCGTTGCTCTTGAATCCTCTGTAGATGTCCCTGATTGTTTCTCAAATTATTTGGTCAGCATACAAATTTGATAAGTATGTAGAAAGTATACAGTTTTATGTACATCTTTCTTTCTGAATTTTGTATCATATAATGTCCTCTTATTCTGTTGAGATAAATATTTCTTGGTCTAAGGATAAGTTTTGCATAAGCACAATTAAGTACCTGAGATTTCCATTCTTTCCAATGTCATCCATAACTTATTATGATTCACAAAGTCAAGAAGTTGGTCTATATAAAGAAGAATGTGACTGTGGCATCAGGATTGAAGGAAGACTGATCGATAACCTGCAAGGTCTATCTTTATTTTGTGTCTTTGGTGGAGTCAAACTGCCAAAGACTCACAATATTTGAACAACTATCGATGGCCTATATCATCAGAACTCCCCATAAGACTGAGAATTTTTGTTGGTAGGTACCACTGAGTCAAGTACAACTCTATGAACAGCAGATCTGAACCCTGTCCTACTCTGTACCATCCTCATCATTTCTGACATACTTCATGGTTCATTGCTGCAGTCACTGTGACAGTCTATCTCATTGAAGTTCTTCCTTTCTTTCATTGGTCTTCAACATTTCCAAGGAATAGCTTCTCCTAACATATGTGAAAAGTACCTGAAATGAAGTTTTACTGCCCTTGATTCTAAGGAACATTCTAGTCACATCTTCTCTAAGACATATCTGTTATATTTTTTGAAGTCCCTGGGGTAATCAAAACTCTTCTCTATAACTCAAAGGCATCCATTCTTCTTTAGTCTCCTTATTAATTGTTCAGCTTTCAAACATACAGCAAGTGACTGAAAAAATCATGGCCTGCAACCAGACACACCTTAGTTTTTAAAGTGATTTTACTGTTCTTCAGTAATTTGGAAAGGTCCCTGACAGCCAACTTTCCCAATACAATACATCTTTTGATTTTCTAACTGTTAGTGCCAACAGTGTTGATTGTGAATCCCAGTAAGGTGAATTTGTTGACAATTTCAACCTTTTTCCATTTATCATGATGTTGTCTACTGAACTACTGAATATTTGAGGACTTTTGTCTTCTTGGTGTTGAAATGTAATCCCTATTGAAGTCTGTAGTCTTTGATCTTTTGCAGCGAGTATTTCAAATTCTCCACTTTCAGCAAGCAAAGTTGTGTATCTATATAATGCAGGTTATTGGTGAGTCTTCCTCCAATCCTGATGCCACATTCTTTCCCATAGAGTCTAGCTTCTTGAAGTATTTGCTCAGCATACATGTTGAATAGGTATGGAGAAAGTATACAGCCTTGACACTAGTGGTAGTGTATAGCAATTGGGTAAAACATATAAAGTATCAATAAACTGAAAGGAAAAAGTAATTTTGCACAGGAGAAGATTGATCATCTTTGTTCAAGAAGTCCATAGTAAATTAGAACAGGGACCATATATGAATCAGCAGTACAACTCCCTATGAAGTATGGCATCAAAGCTTCACAAATAATATCTAGGCCTTTATTTTTATAAGTGAAAGGAGGGGGAAAGTTCATTAAAAACAGAAAATTGACAATCTTATATAAAGACTTGACTTATTTGGGGATAGACACATAACTAGACTAATTCCTGATATAATGAGTTTCCTTCTACTCATTATTGCTCATATTTGGAGAATTTCCATTTATTCACCCAGTGTAGCTAATCATCTAACTCACTTGGGAAGCCGTGAAAGAACACCAGCAGATATGGATGTTAAGGCATCATCCAGACGGCCTGACGGCTTCCCTTTGCGAATCCAGCTCACAAGCAATTCAAGCAGCATCAAGGAAATGAAAAACGGAGTTGCCTGGAAAGGAAATTGAAAAAAAGGAGATGTATTTCACTTGTTAAGAGGCTCCTCCACATTTCCTGTTTAGTTATTCCAGAAGTGGGAAGCTCAGAATGGATTACTTAGCAGGAAATGATATACATCTATCCTAGGGATAATTTATGCTTAATGATAAAAAGAGGTAAAATTATTATGTATATACCCTAAATACGTGCCTCAAATATACCCATAGCCATAACCAAGATAATTGTGCCAACAACTTAATAAGATTACAAAGGACATGTTTTAAGTTAGAAGTTAAAACATAACTTTAAAAGTTAAATAATAAAAAAAAAAGTTAAATAATCAGAAGTCCATCATCCACATAGGACTAATTTGAACCCACTTCAAAGAGGCTTCCCTTATGGATACACACAATTCTAGTTTTTCATGTGAGAAGTGCCCAAATTACATTTGATGAGGAAATTGAAGCTGTAATAACAAAAACTTTCCTGCAAAGTTTTTCAGAGAACAGGGTCATTTGAAATGTGTATTTTAACCATTCATTAGGAAAAACGAAGCTAAGCCTTCAAGTACGTTTCAACTCAACACCAGTCATGCTGTATTAATTAATTGTTTTAAGTGTGTTTTTAAGGCACTCCTATTAATGACTACATCAAATAAGATGTATTGTTTAAATATTAAAGAGTGACTTAAGAAAATGTGAGGTAGCCACACTTTTCTTTTTTGTCAATACAATCAAAAGAAAGAGCAATATCAAATTCTGACAAAGATTTCACTCATTTGGAGGCTGATCATAGGTTTTAAAGTTCTCCAAAATAATATCATTTTCTTTTACTTTCCTCCTCCCCTCTAACCCTCTCCACCCCGCCCCTTCCTGGTCTGATTCAGTAAGTGCTGTAAGGAACAACTTGAACAGGGTGGGGAACTTCAGTATTCAAGTTCTGGATAGTTCCACATCCAGAAGTGAAAAAATGCCTCTGAACACTTCAAAATTTCAAAGCAAACTTGGTTCGAGTTCAAAGTGAGGCAGCAGAGTTGGACTCTCAGCCAGGCTCCTTCATTCTGCAAAAATTCTCTACTGAATTAAAAAATGGAAATAGCTTTTTGCATAGCAGTGTGCACATCTGCCATCTGAAAAAGGAAAAAAAAATTATAAAGACATCCAATTCCTAAACAATTTGCTTCCGGAAACCCTATGAACTTTATAAATGTCGATAGTTGTAGAGGGGCTTCAGGCTTTTGTTCATAGGGTCACTGTGAGTCCTGCTCGACTCGAAGGCGATCAACAACTACTGATGTGATACAGCTCTTTGACATCTGCAGTGGCACAGGGTCTGGGAATTTCATCATTTCAGGAACGAAAGTGAACGAAATCTCTAGGATGTGTTTAACTTACTGAGAGAGAGCGACAGCAGCCTCTCCTCAGAGAGCCTCACCTTCTCTACGTAATCTGGCACCTCTTCCACGGTTTGGAAAGACGTTTCATTGGGCTTCATCATGTAAAACATGGCGCGGACCCCTTGGGAAACTGAAACATCTTTTTGGACTCCGGGGTTTCTCATCTCTGCCCTTGTCTGATTCCCAGCTGGAGATTATTTCGGATTGCTTGGTTGCAGCCAGAGGCAGAACAAAGAGGACGCGATGGGCAGCACAGAGCAGTCTTTGTCAGAGAACAGCAAGAAGCAAAGCTCCGCAGAGCTTGGCCAACAGCACACACTGTGCAGCTAGACAGGGAAATAGAGGGATCAAGGACCAGTTCAGAGTTCAGTGGGCGGCTGCTCCCCAGTCCTGGGCATGTGGGCAAGGGAGGGGTGCTTATGAGATTTGCCCTAACAAAGCAGTTTGACAAGAGCTAAAATAGCATATCACTTTTTTTTTTCTAAGAGAGAAGAAAGAAAAGATATAAAGGGAAGGGGTGGGGATGGGGTGGAAATGATTCTGCTTTGTAAAAAGAAAAAAAAGTGATAACACAGGTGAAAGTTCACTCTGAAAAAAGTGAGTGGAAACTCCCACGTCTAATCCTCTAATCACAGGAGAGGCATTTATCTTTTCTCTCTCTCTCAAAATTCGTACTGTGTTCCAGGGTTTTTTGTTTGTTAGTTTTTGTTTCTCAATAAATTTCTATTTCTTGAAAATTCTCCAAACTTTTTATTAACATTTATTTATTTACTTACTTACTTATTAATAATTAGCTTGAAGGTCAATAAGCATCTAATTTAATACTCCTGATCTTTTATTTCTGGATCTGAATAATCTTGAACTCTGAATATTCCTAATACAACAAAGTTAGGAGCAGTTTGGCTTTTTTATTGTTTAATGAAAATTTGACTAGTAAGATTTTTACCAATTCTTTGCACTTTCGGGATTCCTTAGGGAGCTCTGGTGGCCTCGAGGCAGGCAGCTGCTCTGCAGTCCTATGGGCATGTGGTTCAAGGCCACCAGCAGCTCTGCAGAAGGAGGATGGGCAATCTCCCAAGCAATTAACTTGCCTCTGAAAACCTGCCAGAGGGTCAGCTTTGGGTCAGTTCTGATTCTGTGGTACACAACAGCAGAGGATTCCTTGATTAAAAAAAGTGGCAAGACGTTGCTATGAGATGTTATCTGTTTCCTAGGCAGAGTCCAAGGGCATTTGCCAGTAATGCAATCAGTGGAGTTTATCAGAAAGAGCACAGGCAGTGTATGCGTGCCCTCAGAGCTGTTTTTAGAATAGGTCAGCAGTTCTAATTCACCAGTTCTCCTGGGAGAAAGATGGCCTGTCTTCAGTCATAAGATTTACAGTCTGAGAAACTCAATGGCAGAATGGGCTCCACAGCAGTGGGAGTGAATCAGAACAGTTTCAGCTCTTCACCAAGAATAGTTACAGAATGATTACCTTTTAGTTATCATTAAATCCTTAAAAATGCTTTAGTAGATTTAATTAAACTGTCAATACAAGCTTATATTAGAAAGAAAAAATAGAAACTAGTAACAAGCAATAGATAAATTAATATGTTGTTACCATGTCACCATGTTTACCATGTTGCCTTAATTTTTACAGCTTTAAACATACTGAAAATTTGGAAAATAATTCCTTAGTCATTAATTTTATTATTATCATTATTATTATTAATTCAATTGGGTTAAATTGGAAATAATTGACATTATAGACACTTAAAAATGTTTGTGGAACAGTATATAAACCACAATTATTTAAACTTAATTGCATAGTTAAATACTTTCAATATTGTTGTTGTTATGTGCCCTCGAGTCACTGCGAATCATAGCAACCCTATGTACAACAGCCCTAAACCCCGTGACAATCTCATTGTCTCTGACACACCTTCCCCCTTTACCCCAGTCACTGAGTCACTGAATCAATCCATCTCATTGAGGGTCTTCCTCTCCTGCGCTGTCCCTCAACCCTCCCAAGCATGATGTCCCTTTCCAAGGAGTGGTCCCTCCTTACAACATGTCCAAAGTATGTCAGACAAAGCTTCAGAATCTTTGCCTCCAAGGAGTAGCCTGGCTTCATCTTCTCCAGGACAACTCTGTTTTTTCTCTTAGCAGTTTATGGTATATTCAATACTCTTCTTCAACATCACAGCTCAAAGGCATCAATTCTCCTTCTATCATCCCTAGTCATTGTCCAGCTCTCTGAAGCATAGCAAGTAATTGCAAAGACCATGGCATGTATCAGGCACACCTTAGTCTCCAAAGTGACATCATTGCTCTTCAGTGCTTTAGAGAGGTCTCTAAATGAAGACTTTCCCATCACAATATGTCTTTTAGACATGCTCACTAAGTTGTGCCACAACCAACTGGCCAACTGACTGGAAGAGATCTATATTTGTTCCCATTCCAAAGAAAGGTGATCCCACAGAGTGTGGAAATTATCGAACAATATCATTAATATCACATGAAAGTAAGATTCTTCTGAAAATTATTCAAAAACAACTGGAACAGCAAATCAACAGAGAACTGCCTGAAGTGCAGGCTGGGTTTAGAAGGGGTCATGGTACTAGGGATATTATAATGTTAGATGGATCTTGGCAGAAAGCAGGGAACACCAGAGGAATGTCTATCTGTGTTTCATTGACTATGCAAAGGCATTTGACTGTGTGGATCACATCAAACTGTGGATCACATCAAACTGTAGCTAATTCTAAGAATGGGAATCCCAGAACACTTGAACGTTTAATGCAAAACCTATAATTGGAACTGGAGGCAGAGCAAGGAAACATTGTATGGTTCAAAATTGGGAAGAGTGTATGCCAAGGAAGTATCCTATCTCCATGGCTTGTCAATCTGTATGCCTAACAGGTTATCCGGAAG